AAGAGTCTAATGAATGGAAATATGTGCTCTTTAATAGATAAATTCTCTCATCCAAGTATTTGTGCTGTGGTGTGGATGAATATTTCTTACGGGCTAGTGAAGGGTGTCAGGTGCTCACTCCCTTTCTCCCTTGATTCGCTTCTGAGTCCTGGGAGCGGTGCATTCATCAGGTGCTGACAAACGTTTCCGTGTCAGAAACCAGTCCGTACCAGTAGAACACAAACGAAGATTTTTAAAGGAGTCATATGACGTTGCTAAAAAGAACATTATGTTGTGTATTTGGTGTAATGCAATGTGTGGTTTAAGGTTAAAAAAACACATTATTTTCCACATAATGCATATTATTGTTGTTCCTCTATGCTCCGCCTTTCTGAAACGCATCGATTTTTACAAAGCTCATCGTTCTGAAAAGCACGGTGTGCTCTGATTGGCCAGCTATCCAGTGCGTTGTGATTGGCTGAATACCTCAAGCGTGTGACGGAAATGTTACGCTCCTTACCATATTGTGATGATGCCCTGTCCGGCCGGAGTGACGAGACAAAACATTAAAACCCATTATAAACAAGGCATTTGTTGCATCCAGTGGGGACATAATTACTAATGACTTATACTTTACCTTTTACCTTTACCTTTATTGTTGCTTTGACACAATCTGTATTGTTAAAAGCGCTATATAAATAAAGGTGACTTGACTTATTTATATCGTTTTTTTCCTCTGATTTTCACCGCAATGTCCGAACTGTCTTGAGCGCGTCCTCGACAGCCGGCACCTGAGCGTTGTCTTCTTCTTCTTGCTTTACAGCGGATCACAGACTTATAATTGCAGTAAGTACAGTTCGGAAATTGCGGTGAAAATCAGAGGTAAAAAACGATATAAATACTGTTCAGTTTCTTGCATAGACCGACCGTTTTGTGTCTTTACACATCAATGTATCGTCACGAGCCGCAGGGTTTAATTTGGTTTTGTTTGTGATTCCTATCCACTTGCATTATATGACTGACAGACTGCAACGGTTTGACTTAAAAATCTTCATTTGTGTTCTACTGAAGAAACAAAGTCACCTACATCTTGGATGCCCTGGCAGTAAGCAGATAAACGTCAAATTTTCATTTTTGGGTGAACTATCCCTTTAAAGCTGCACGGTTAGCAGTTGACTCACTACTTCATTTTTTATTTTTGTATATCTGGAAATGTTTATGCAATTACATATTTTACCTGCACAAAAACCGTTTATTATTCTTTTTTTGAAGTTTTTGACACGTTATGCAGTAAATGAATATCACTTAACGCAATAAACCAATTAGATGAATCTGAGAGCAGGATAAGTATATCTGCATATAGACAAGTGTACTGAGTGTTTTATTAGCAACAATGTATGGGAGTTATTATGCTCATAAAGATGCCTTCTGTTCAATTCCATAGCACTCTTCTTCTTCTTCTAGCTATGTTTGATTTTTATAAACTTAAATGGGAAATTATTTCAATAAAATATTTTAATGAGGAAACAGGGTTGTATGAAATTTATTGCAGTGACATCATCAAAATATTTGCATGCAGTCTTCTTAAAACAATTTGCATACTGAATTTTGGTGGTTCTTTTCTCTCTCATAGGCCGTTTTTGTATAGTATAGAGTTTATAACTTTTATATTTCTTTCTCTAATACTTTCAGACTATTTTACTGCTTTACAAGCACTGGTATTTCCTTAAGGAAATGTTTTGTACTGTTTCCTGCAGTTGTATTCAATATGTTACCGTGTATCTGCATGTATGAAAGGGTGAGTGAGAGTACAGATGTTTTCTTTTGTTCTTTAATCTAACCTCCTGTCAGCCCACATGCTTCAGATCTAAAGTCCCTGACTACTGGCTGTATACCTTTGGACTTTAGTGTCAGCTAAATCAAACCCCTTGACATGACTGAATCACTCAGGCCCAGATTGTCCAGTTAAGAACAGAGCTTGTGTTTGTTTTATCTGTTTGACTTCTCTGCCAGAGTTCACCTGACTCATCTGTAATTCATGCAGATTCACTGATAAGACTCCTGAGGTGTTCTGAGAAGAACTGGCTCAAATACGTGCACGATTATCTCCCATGGAAACAGAGGAGCGACTCGGAGAGAGTTGTAGGCAGAGAATCAGGATGTCAGCCATGTTTTCCAGCAGGTCTTTAGAGGTCTGTGACTCAGCAACAGGTGTAAAAGAATTTTTTTTTTAGCCTCAATCACATGGCTCAAGTTAACGAACTGCATAAGCCTTACAGCTGTTGAACACACATGCTGTCTTCAAAACTTTGGCCATCTGTATATTCAATTGGTTCTACTCTTGCACAGATTAAGTCTCAAGATAAGCAGAGGATTTTGTGGGTAGATGTTCAGCAATCTGAATAGGTCAGATTTGCTTGGACCAATGTCACAAACTTAGATTTTTTTTAAAGTAACATGACAGAATAAACTTGACCATATTAGGCTATACAAGCAAAAGTCACTTTTAAAGGTCCTTAGGGGTACAACAACTGAATATTCCTTGTGAAACAATTAAGGCAGGAAAAAATAATTCCACACTTAAAAAATGTACAGTTAAAGCGAATGCAGTAATACTGACCAAATTCAACCAGACACTTGTGTTTTAATCAAATATTTGTTTATTTCACAAGATTCGGCTTTAATACCTTATTAGAGATGATTTAATGAGGTAACCCATGATCTCACATGCTAAAGAAAACCTTACTTGAGTAAAGATTGGAATAGTCTCTGTTTGATTAACCTCTTTACACTTTTCAAAAAAGTAAAAAAAAAAAAAAAAAGTATCAAAACGATGTAGATTGCCAAACAATTCCAAAAGTATCTTATAGTTATACGAAAGCTCTTATAATATAAATATAAAGTTAACCTAGTTACCTAATCTAGCAACAAATCCCATAAACATTCAGACTACACACTTAAAAATGAAGATTGCAAAAAAAAAAAAAAAAAAGTTTTTGCAGTGATTCCATAAAAGAACCATTTTCGGAACAGAAATAACAGTGGTCATTTATGTTCTTTCAATTTCATATGATTTTGATGAAAACTGTTTGTGAATAAACTTGTGGATTTTTTTTCATTAATTTAATAAAATTATATTGATTAATGAATGTTTGAAAGGACTTAATTCAGTGATGTTTTTCCATGGTCTCTGCTATTTACAAAGAATGTTTATAGTGTTACTGGCTGAATGGATTAGAAAACGGTAAAACTCAACGGTTTAACTCTAGTGGTGTTGGAAAATGAGCCTATTTTCAAAAATAGTGGAGTGTTCCTTTAAGTGGTATTAAAGCAAATTCCTAGCTATTTGATTACATTGAGTACTGTTGATTGTATAAGATACCTTTTACATTTTTTTTTAATGAAAAGGCAACATTAAAGGCCATAGTTCAAGCTTATTTCTTAGTGCTTTTATCAATTGTGGTCATAAAAATAAAAGCAAAAAACGGTAATAAACCACTCCTTAAGGGCGAAGAAGAAACCTTGGGAGGAACCAAGGCTCAAAGGTAACACAAATCCCATCTGACCGACCTTCCAAGAGAATCACTCCTTGGAAAATAGTTGTTAATAGAAGTTCAAAGATAATGGTAAAGTGTAGAGTGGATTTGAAATATTTGAACATCAGCAAAGATTCAGTTAGGATGTATGCAGTTGTCTGTGATTTATGAAAAATTGTTAATGAATGACATGGTAGATTCATGGGAACTAGCAATAACAGCCATCTGTTTCAAGCAGAAGTTGTATGCAAACAACAGTGCAATCCCAAAGTAAAACCCATGACACCTGTCACTGTGCAATCTAAATAATGCCACTGGTTCAGATCAACGCTAAAATAGTGCTTTAGATTGATTAGTGATCTTTTGGAGTAGTAATAGAGTTACATCATGTATGCATTAGAGTCATGAGCACTCAATCATTGGTTGAACTCTGGAATGTGTAGAAACAGTTTACAGGGTGTGACCTACCGTGCAACCTTTGAACAGACAAAAACACATGTTTGAAAAGCCTCAATTGTGTTTGGCTGCTTAGTGATCAGAAACAACTAGCCCTACACGAGGACTCAGAGAAGCATATGCATATGCCAGTAGATTGAATTTCAGTGTGTATTGTGTTATTGCTTTAAGTGGATTGGGTGCCTTGACAGAGTATATTAAATGCGGTTTGGCATTTTCTCGTCCTATACCTCCAAAGAACTGTTTGAAGGACAGACTAATAATAGAGGCTAATTATATAATGCACAGGATGGATCAGTTGCCAAAAATCAAGAATGAATGACACAGTGGAACGTCAGGTAGCCTAGGAGATGATTTAAGACACATTTCTAGTCTTTTTTACTGAATGTTTATTGAATTTAGCAGTGAAAATGTAATAAAAATAAAAATACAGGCTGTTGCCTTAAAACTTTAAAATGTATTTCATTGGTGCAGTCCAACACATTGGTGCAATCCAAGTCTGGTTAATGCAGTCATAAAAATAATATGTAGGCCTATAAGTTAATTGGAATGGTGAGTAAAGGGGAACAATATTAATTCAAAAACCCATTGATCATCAACCACTATATGGAATATAAAAAGGTTAGGAAAGCAAATTGGGATTGTGTTGTTTATGTCAACTTTAACATGGCTGACAAGGTGGTGATGCACCACCACCAAGTAATTTCTGGCATATCTACCACTTTCTCTGCAGTGAACAGATGTGTAACTCTCAAAATACATAATTTTTCAGGATTTTGTTTCGTGGTTTAATAAGTCAAGCATAAAAAGCTAAATATAGATATTATATCGAGTTAAATTAGATTTTTTTCCTTCGTAGAGAAAGAACATTGGAGCGCGAGCGTCCCGCGCTCTCTGATTGGTCGAACTGGCGTTCTCTTCAAGTTGTCAAAACTACAGAATTGCGCGTCTTCTCATTGGACGAAAAGAGTTCCAAGCGGTGCCAGCAGGTAACCGCTCGGCCAATCAAAACGCTCCTTTCATGTTGTCCTAGAGCCCGTGGTATTTCAATCTACGACTTCCTTATACTGACATTTCAGTGTGTTATGAGATATAACCGTCTGACTGTCAGAGTTTCACTCGTTAGAAATACAAGAGCTGTTGCTTCGAACGCGGAACTACAGCATCCTGCTTCTGAAACATTTGTGTAGGCTATATACGTGTCTGTGCGCGTGTGTGTATGAAATATTAGCCCAGCCCAGCAGCCCTTCCTATTTCCCCTCCCTTCCCTCCAACAGTCTCAGTCGGTTCGCCCGCAGCACTTGCGTTCTCTCGGCCGGGTTTCACTCCAGAGATGGCTGCGAAAGTGTGTAGGTCGGTCCTCCTCCTGTCCCGGAGCAGCGGAGCCGTAGCCTCTTCTGCTTTTCCCGCATTCGGTGTCTCCTCACAGCGACATCATCAGAGCACAAGAACGGTGAGTCCCCGGAATGGAAAGCAACCGAGCATGGGTGCCGCTACCGCTGCTGCTGGACAAGGGGAGGGTTGTGAAGGGAGAGATAAAGGGGCTGGGTTCCTCTCTGGTGAGGGTTAGATAAAAACAACCCGCCAAGGAAGTGTTTTGGGACGTTTCTGTCCGCATTGAGAGTTCCGTGTATTGCACAGCGATGATCAGCAGTGCTGCATCATTATTAACCAGTGCACTTTCAGTCGAGCTGTACAAGACGTCCCGTTTACCGGAGGCGTTTACACATGTACAGCCCATGTCACGGCTTGACTCGTTTATGCACATTACATTTGAACTTTGCATGCATGCCACAGAATCGCACGCGTGCAATCGGATGCGCTCATGGCGCATGGGCTCCGTGCATTCCCTTCCAGGATAACCTTGAAAGCAACAGTGGTCTCAACTTTAATGCTGACTCCGAGACACATCATGCGCTCTCCGTGATTGATTGCGTGGCACCGCTTCAGTAATTTCAAGCATGCAAAGCTTGTTCTTTCAAGGTTTGCAGAACTGGACGGACTGTGAGTGTGTTTGATTCACTGCGGTGTCCGATTGTGTGTATGTGCATAGAGAGAGTTACAGTGCGGCAGGACTCTTGCGTTCACACAGGACGTTACGTTCAAACGTTTTCAATACGCGTTATAAAGTTGAACTGTTCTTAACTTGACGCGCCGTCTTAAAAACGTAACGCAACGTCCGACGCATGCGTACTCAGAGCAACTAATAAAAAACAGCGCAGACCTAACGCAAGAATGCGTAACGCCCCCCCGCCACCCCGCTCGTATGAAGTACTGTCTGTCATTGTTGGTAAAAAGGAGTATACGTGCGTACTCAGAACAACTAATAAAAAACAGTCTTTGTTTATCTATCTATCTATCTATCTATCTATCTGTCTATCTGTCTATCTGTCTGTCTATCTTTGTTTATCTATCTATCTATCTGTCTATCTGTCTGTCTGTCTGTCTATCTTTCTTTGTTCTATCTATCTATATCTATCTATCTATCTATCTATATTTGTTTGTTTGTTTTTCTATCTATCTATCTATCTATCTGTCTATCTGTCTGTCTGTCTATCTTTGTTTATCTATCTATCTATCTATCTGTCTGTGTCTGTCTGTGTGTCTGTCTATCTATCTTTGTTTGTTTTTGTATCTATCTATCTGTCTATCTGTCTATCTGTCTATCTGTCTGTCTGTCTGTGTATTCTTACAAGCTTTGTACTTAATAACATGCTTTTGGACAAGCTGCCATTTTGGACCATAGTTAAAAAAAAAATAAAGATTTTTCATTGGAAAAATGCCCCTGCAGCAGCGTTTCTGCCGAAACGATATTGCATTGCTTCATTGTATGTTTTGCGACACTTTCGTAGTGAAGTGTCCAGTGCGTAGCGCTAAAAGCGTGCTTAGTGTTATCTGAAACATGAATGATGAACATGAATTTGGCAACATTCTTTTACATTGCTGCTTGTACGTATCACCGCACTTTGGAAATTAAATGTCCAGTGAATGATGCTAGGAGGTTAATTCTGTATTGATGTTAACATATCACGTATACTATACCAATAGTGTTAACAAAAAGTAAACATGAGATATGCATTTGCGTATGCGTAACCACGCCATTTTCACTTGCTTCTACAAGCTGTTTTATTGTGACTCGTGTTTCAGAGTGCTCTGCATCAAGTGCAGTGCTGTACCAGGTGAGCTACCAAGCAAGTTTACCATATCAGAAAACCCATAAATATGGATTATGCAATACAAATGTCAAAACGCTAATTATTCACTATGCTAAAAGTGTCTTGAGGACATAACGTAGTATTATCTTTCTTAATCGATAATGTCACTAGTGTTCATGGAAACTGCAGTGAATTGTATATGTATACTTTAAATTCCGTGATATATAAATCTGGTAATCAAACAGTACTATGATAAATACTGGAATACTCTCGGATTCTATCGTTGATGGTGTCTCCTCAGGAATGTTATTTTTATGGGTTTTCTTGCCAAAGATATAGGTGACTTGGAATTTAAAGTCTGAACTTAAACTACTATTTGCCTTTGAGATTGCAGCATACAAATAAATATATTAGTTGTTTACAGAACCATACCCCTTAGATTGGCAGAGAATCACAACAGCAGACTCTCACATCCTTCTATGGATTAAGCAGTCCCAGTTTGATCATTAATCTTGTGTGTCTCTATTTATTTCTCTCTGGGCAGTAATGTTTGTGGCTCTGTTGGCATTTATAGTGTTCCCCAAACCAAGCATGCGTGGCCTCTTACGGTGCTTGGCACAAACCTGTCTGGCTGAGACACTGCAGTGACAGGTCTCTGACAGCAAGGCCTTCATCTGTTCATCACATGCTAGCTGGGCACCGAGTCTCAAAGCACCGTTTCATCATAAACATCTAAAGCACAGCTGTGAGAAGTTTAACGAATTGCTTCAGAACAACGTTTTCCCCAAGGACTATGCACTTCAGTAGAAATAACAAGGCTTTGAGTGTCTAAAAACACTTTGAACCGTAGCTGGACACGAGCAGTGGAGAGTGCCATGGCAAAACAGCATCCTCTTGGATCACTAGCTGAAATGCCAGTCGCGGTGTCAGATATTTAGCCTGACTCTGAATCCAGAAAAGTCTCCTTTCTGAATGTGGACAAGTACAGAGACTACTGAAGAACAAAGTAATATATAACCCTGGTGATCACTGTGGTCCACTCCAGTGGATCTTTTTAATCCGTGCAGTGAATTGTTGAGTTTACTCTTTTTCAACAAGCCTCGAGCATATGCAGAGAGCATGTGTGGAGGGTGAACCAGTTGCAGGGTAATCCTATGAAGTCCTATAAGCAGTGTGTTTCTTTGCATACCTTAGAGATGTTATATAAGAAACGTGCAGCATTAGTCCGAATAATTTTTTCCAGTCATAATAGCCATTGTACAATGTTCATGCTCATTCAAAACATGCCAGATTAATTACTTGTGCAGTCTGTTATTGGTGTTTAAACAGATGATTACATACCAGCGATCACATCATATTGATAAGTAAGCGACTCAAGCAAGTCTATATGCATAGATTGTTTTTCCATTGACATGGCAGCAAACGTAAAACAATAAAAACAACTAACCACCTGAATGCAGCAAAATGGGTTGAATTGGCCTATGCCAACTTTAAAAAAATTTGGAAGTTGGGACAATTAAAAAAAATGGATTGTGGTTGCATTTCAGTTCAAATGTGTATATAAATGTAATTTTAATATGAAATGTCATTACATATTTGGATGAATAGTTTTGTATGTGTGATCATGAACATCATCAAACCTCTAGCTTCCACTTTTTAATTTTTGAAATGAACTGGATATGAATTATAACCCTTCCCAGTTTGTTAATCCAATTTGGATTTAAGTGGTCCGATTAACTGTTGTCACGATTGACTGGGCGGCTTCAGTGATTTCGAATAGCAGGAACAGAAGAAGGTTGGTCTAGAGATTGCAACTCTCATTGTCTCAGCTGGAAACTCTGTCTATTGACAGCCAGGGCCGAGATAGCAACTCAGAACTGAACCAGCAATCAGTTTCTAATAGCCAAAACAGCCTGAAACATAATTAAGGACTGTGTATCTGAAGTGACAATGCTTTAGGAGCTTCTTAACATGTGACATATTCCTGCGGCTTCATATTTGTCTACTTTTTATGGTTTGTGGAACACTACTGTGTGTGTTCTGCCTGTCTCTTACAGTGGACAGCTCCATAAAACATTATCCTATCTGTTATAAGGAGGTCTATGTTATGTTTACAGATTGCTGTTGGCACACATCTATCCTTTACCTTGATAAAAGAGAGCACTGCTATGATAGAAACGCTGACAAGTTAAAATGCGTTTAGTTGCATGTTCATATTGACAATTAGATTTTTACAATTTCTTCCTCTCTGAAGCATTGTCGCCAAATTTACACACAATAAATGGGGCAATATTTTAGAGTTCTGTCAGGACCACTATCGTCAAAATGATAGATACTTAGCATAACGTTTGGTTTGGCGGTATGGTTCTGTTCTGGGAAAAAACCTCCCTGCCCATCCATGCAGCCTGTCATGAATGAGCAGGGAGAGCAGCAATAATAACCCCCCTAGGGTTAACAGAACAGAACAAGGCAGATATCATTAATGTACTTAATGATATTTAAGTGTAACACTTTATTCAAGATAAAGGAGAACCAGCTGATGCAATCTTGACTCACGTGACCTGCCAGAACTAACGCTAACGCTTAATTTTTGTGAAAAATGGACAAATCAGCCCAATCATGCTGGGATCATTTGCCTCAAAAAAGATGATTCTGCACTCTAAAAAATGCTGGGTTGTTTCAACCCAACTTTGGGTCAAATATGTACTAACCCAACTTTTGGGTTAAAAATGTAATGTAAAAATGTAACCCAACAGTTGGGTTAGTCCATATTTGACCCAAAGCTGGGTTGAAACAACCCAGCATTTTTTAGAGTGCAATACACAATACTTTACATTTTTATTCCTATTCATATTCTGAAGTTTTTTTTTTTTTTTTACAGAGGGGTTTGTTCATATGTCTGATTGCCTGATTTTACACATTTTTATTCTTTAACAAAATATGGTGTTGACAGTATTTTCTGTTTTATGGAGAGACATTCCCTTTATACAAAACCTTCAAATCTAATATGTCAACAAAATGAAACAACAATTTTGAATCTGGCTTGGAATCTGGAAATGTATGCAAATCTGCACATATTTAAATAGTTATTTATTAAACATAACATTTCAGAAAACTTGAAATACAAAAAAATGTTTGCACTTCTTAATGTAATCAATCAACTGGAGAAGTACGGTGATATCTATTAGTTACATTTTTACCCTATTCATGGGGTGTCTTGCCTTAAAATGAAAGAGAAAAACAATAATTTTGTTAACAGTTCTTTTTAAAACCCTGCAAAGTACATAAAAGGCTTTAC